GGGATGGAAAGTTAATTAGTGTAAGATAAGTAATTTAAAACATTATTACATTAAATCAATCGTGGATATATTATGGAGCAGAATGCTAAAGTAACACACATTTAAAACAGTATGATTTCTCATATATGAAATATAAAACAAAAAGTAACAAATGAACTAACAAAAAAGAATAAACTCATAGATATAGACAATAGAATAGTGGTTACCAGAGAAAAAAGGGGGTGGGGTCAGGGCAAAGTGGGAAAAGGGGGACTTAGGGTGGTAAGTGACCAACAGATATTGAATTGTACACCTGATATTTATATAATGTTATTACCCAATGTAACCCCAGGGCTGCCTGCAGGGCTGTCTCATAGTACTTGCCATTGACCCTGTTCTGCGTGTTGTGGTTATTCCAGGGCTGGATGCTGGTGGCAATGTACCCAGGCCCCACACTGGGAATGAACTTGAGGTTGTTGGAATCACAAAAGTTCTTCACAGCTTTCCAGTTCTGATGGGAGGAGTCCAAAGGAAAAACCATTGGAGCAAAGTAGGTGTACATGCCATGAAATCCAGTGGCCAGGATATTATGAGTGTGTCCCTCCTCTACCAGCAGCGCTATGAAAACCCCATTATAGGAGGTGTTGCTGATTGAGTGCAGCCCATTTGGTGTCAGGAGATGGGCCCAGGCCTCAGGGTTGTCAGGTATGAGCTGTAGATATATAAAAGAGTAGGAGGCTCTTCCCTATGTTGTTCTTATAGCAGTAAAATGTGCCAGGGAGCCATACGTGTCAATGATGTACTTGATATTATCATGCTGAATGATGTCATCCCAGCCATTGTAAGGTTGGATGTGGAAGGCCACCTTGATTCATTGGGTACAAAGAGGCAGAACTACAGGGGACAGGAATTGATCATTTCAAATCCTTGTCTGCCATTACTTCTCAGTAGCATTCTTGTGCCTCTAGTATCTCCACCTCAGAGCTGGGGTGCTTAAAAGTATCTAAAAATAGCAGTTCCATCGCACAGTCCACCACCATGTTTGCCCCGACGAGAGGCGTGTGGAGGGCTGCCAGCGCAGCCCTATACCCTCCAGGCGGCGACAGCAGCTCTGGAGAGGGAAAAACCGCAGCACTTCCTGTGTCCGACTAAAACATTATTTTTACATTAAATCAATCGTGGATATATTATGGAGCAGAATGCTAAAGTAACACACATTTTTCTTAATTTAATTTATTATTTGAAGATGTAATACATGTTCCTGGGAGAAAAATCATTCTATATAATAAAAGCCTAATATGCTGTGTCAGACTGTTCGCTATGATGTGCAATGACCACCAGTGGGCAGACACTCGGACCAGTAGGTTAGCTTGCTGCTGGGATCCGGCCAATTGGGACTGGGCGAGATGGGCCAGACACGCCCTGGAGCCCTCCTGCAGCCCCTCCCTGGCCAGCCAGCCTCCCATGGTCCCTCCCCGGCTGGCTGGCCCTGATTGCCCCTGATCGGCCCTAATCAGGACTGAGACAGGACAGACACGCCCTGGAGCCCTCCTGTGGTCCCTTCCTGGCCCCGATCGTGCACCAGTGGAGTCCCTCAGCCTGACCTGCACCTTCTCACAATCTGGGATCCCTCAGAGGATGTTGAAGAGCTGGTTTTGGCCTGATCCCCACAGACCAGGCCAAGGGACCCCACTGCTGCATGAATCCGTGCACCGGGCCTCTAGTAAGGTATAAAAGAGTTAAGAATAAAAATTGACATCTCTGTTCTCCAACTACACAGCTTCACTCCAGGAGGCAACTGCTCTTCCTGAGTTCTTAGGAATCATCCCACAGACCATCTATATGTAGTACAATAAATAGCTAAACATGTGAGTTGCTTTTTTTTTAAGTAAAAATGATAGCATAAAATACACACTGCTTTTCAGCTTGCTTTATTCCAGATAAACACTACATCTTGGAAGTCTTTTCATAACACATTCATAGAATTATTTCATTCTTTTAACAACTGCACAATATTTCACGGTATGGATGAGCCAGAATTTGTCCACTGGCCCAATTACTGCTATTTCCAATATTTTCCTATTACAAACAACACTAAGTAACTATAACCCCAAATTTTCCTCATTGTACACAGGTAGTGTGCCTGTAGCAAAATTCCTAGAAGTGGGACCCAGGGTGTACTGTATGGTCCAATCTCTCGATCATCATGCCAGAGTATCTTGCCTCACCCATTAGCCAACACACAGATAAGTGTTTTCAAACTCTCTGACCTTGGCCAATCTGATGAGTAAAAACTGGTATCTCATTAGAGTTTTTATTTGCTTTTCTTAACTATGAAGGAGGTTGAGTATGGTTTTTTTTAAATGTTCAAGACCCATTTGTATTTCTTCTTCTGGGAACTGTTTCTTCATATCATTTTCCTATTTGATTGTTGGCTTTTTCCTTAACAGTTGGGATTTCTTTAGATATTAAGGAAAGGTACCTTTTTTAATATGAATTGCAAATATTGCCCTCCGGTATGTTTGTCTTTTGATTTAGTTTCTCCTCCTCGCCATATAGTCATTTTTAAATTTTTTTTGGCAAATTTACCTTTGCTTTTATAGCTTCTGGGTTTTATGCCATATTGGAAAGGATGCTCCCCTATCAGAAGTGATTAAAAAACATTCTTTTATGAATTCATTTCACTGAAAATTTACTGTGCTCCAACTCTGTGCCCGGCACTGAACAAAACAACAATGAGTCCATGTTCTGAGTTCTTTGGCTCAGGTTTCTAGCACTTTCCTAAGTACTTTCATAGTTTCATTTTTTTTTACACTTAAATGACTTAAATCTTAATTCCATCAGGAATTTAATCTGGTGTAAATGGTGAGGTATTTGCCTTTCCCCCCCCCCCCCAAGTGACAACCCAGTTGTCTCAACATCATTGACTGAATAACGTCTCTTTTCCTTACTGACTTGATATGTCAATTTTATCATATGCTAAATTCCCATAGATCAAACAAAAACATTTTCTAATCCTCCCCTGAGGATGTTTTTTACTGATTTGAGAGAGAGAGAAACATTGATCATTTGCTTCCCTTAGGGTCTGGGACCAGAGATTAAATCTGCAACACAACCCAAAACCTTTTGGTGTATAGGATGACATTCCTACCGACTGACCCAGAGCCATAGATCATACATTTTTAAGTTAAAAAGAAACCTGAAAGGGATGTCTTGCTTGAAGCTCCATCAACAGACCCCTCAGACTGTGAGTCCACTCTCTCCGATCTTTAGGAGCCCTTGGTGGGAAGACTGGGCATCAAATCTTTTAACCTGCTTTCATCTTCACAATAATAAATTCCAAGGCAGATTGTTTTCTCCATTTTCTTTTAAATTAGAGGCCCAGTGCATGGATTTGTGCACCGCTGGGGTATCTCAGCCTGGCCTGCGGGGATCAGGCTAAAACTAGCTCTCCGACATCCCCCAAGGGGTCCCGGATTGCAAGAGGGTGCAGGCCAGGCCGAGGGTCCCCACTGGTGCATGATCAGGGCCAGGGAGGGACCGAGGGAGGGCTCCAGGAAGTGTCCAGTCTGTCTTGCCCAGTCCCGAACGGGGCCGATGGGGGCCGGCTGGCCAGGGAGGGACCATGGAACGTTGGCCAGCCAGGGAGGGACCGTGGGAGGGCTCCAGGGCATGTCTGGCCCATCTCACCCAGTCCCAACTGGCCGGACCCCAGCAGCAAGCTAACCTACCAGTCGGAGCTTCTGCCCCCTGGTGGTCAGTGTGCATCATAGCAACTGGTCAAACGGTCGGACACTTAGCATATTAGGCTTTTATTATATAGGATATGTTTTTATTGATTTTAGAGAAAGAGGAAGGTAGAAGGGGAGAAAGAGAGAAACATCAATTGGCTGCCTCCCGCTGAGCCCTAACTGGAGATTGAGCCTGCAACCTGGGCACATGCCCTGACCAGAAATTGAACCAGTGAGCTTTTGGTGCATGGTATGACGTTCAACCAATTGAGCCACACCAGGTATGGCTCTCCATTTTCCAAGTAAGGAAAATAGGCCTCATTAAGAAGTGCCCCACCAGGGTCAACCCTTTATTGTCTTATCTGCCCAGCACTTCCTTTCTTCTGGGAATTGCCCACTCCACACACCCCACCCATCTGCTTCCCGAGGTGAACGTGTTAGCATGAGATCCCTCCAGGCTGACTGGTCCAGGACCTGCTCTGCACAAGCTTTGCCAATCATGGTCCATGTTAATTTGAAATAGAAACCTAGAGGGGCCAGTCTCTGTAAGTTACAAAGGTGGGAATCTGTCTGAGGCACATTTCTTGCCTCATGTACCAGAGAAGCAGAGGAACCTACCCAGCAGAGGGAGATGATGGAGCATGACTTGAGCACCGGAGAAGGTTAGTGGAGAAGAAAGGGGGGTCCCCAAGGTTCACGGCCACAGTTCTCTGTGAGCTGCTGGGCGTCGGCTATACTCCTGAAGCCGTGTTGGTTGAGACCCTCCTGTATCCTCAGAGTATATTCTCCTTGCGCTGCTTTGACTTGGATGTCTGTCACTTGCCATCAAAGAGGTCCTCGAAAGGCTGGGATGGGCCTGGCCCGGGGATGGTTTTTTCCGAAGCCTTCTCTTGCGACGTCACAACAGGGAGCCAGGATGCTCTTTCCCTCTGAATTGTGTCTCAAAGGGCAAATGGACTGTGTGAGTGTGGCCAGCCCAGGGTGCTCCCGAGCCCCTGTCCTCGGCCACTGCAGCTGTGCGCCCTGTGAGGTGACTACAGTGGAGGGTTGTGCCATGGCAGACTCAGAGCCTTCTTCTCTTCTAGTCATAAGGATGCGGGACGTTGTGGTTTAGAAAAGAGATCTTAGCCTTTTCACTGGGCCACTGTCTGGTGGTATAGGAACTCATGCCAAAATCCAGCCAGCATCTGACCCCTCCTCTGTTCTCCCCTCCCTGGGGTCCTGTTGGTTCTTTCAGAAGTTACAGCTGCCCGCCCCGCCTCCCCCCCCCCCCCCCCCGCCCCAGGTTGGAAATCTGAAAACCAGTTTCTCCTCAATGTCTCTCGCACTTGACCCTTTTTCCATTCTCAATGCCAATTCCAAGTTTCATTGCCTCAGGCCTGAACTGTTGTAATCGAGTCCTAATGCTATTGCCTGGCCTGAGATGCCCGATCTCACATGTGAACTGGATCCAAATTCAAACATCACCTTCTCTGAGGGACCTCTCAGACCCTAGGAGTAGGCCATCCTGCTGACCCAAACCACCACACTCAGGGGTTACAGAAGGAACGATCCAGGGGTAGCACGGGATCGGGGCGTGTCACCATCTTACATTCAGCCTCTGTCTCTTTACCTGTCAGACAGGATAAACAGCAAGACGGCGGTGAGAAGTCAAAGGATGTAGGTAGAAAAAACCATTGCAGGGCTCCCAAATAAAAAGGAAACCCATTATTTCCATGCATTTAAAAATATTCTTTAAATTGTTGATTTTAAGCAATTTCTAAAATGTTTAAATTTAAGCAATTTCTAAAATGACCACGCACTTATTTCTACTTAGATAAGCAAAAAGAAGCAAGTAGAAATCACCATAATCCTAGCAGCCATTGATTTAACCTTCTGATCTAGTTTCTGTTCTGTTTTATTTGGTTAGCATTGTTCCAAAAACCATTTTTCATGTCCTTAAGAAAGGTTCGTAAAGATAATTTTTTAAAAATAGTAGCATATTATCCAACTGACTAAGCCATAATTTACTTAGTTTTCCATTGCTCCACATTTAGGATTTCTTTTTTTCAAATTTTATTTTAAACAATGTTGCAATGAATATTTTTGTTCATCAATCTTTGGCCATGTTTCTCAATAGCCCTTTAGGATCATTACAGCAAGTACATTCTTGAGTGCTTTCAAGCACTTACTGCACTGAATCCTCCTAACAATGCTATAAGGTAGGTATTTTCACTCCCATTTCACAGATGACAAAACTGAAGCACAAATAAGTAAGTACCGTGCTGACCGATACACTCAAAGCCATGATAGTGGAGCCAAAATGTAACCTGGCCAGCCTGACTCCAAAGCTCATACTCTCAGTCATGGCCTTTTAGGGCTCTTGGTATTATTGCCACATGACTTTCCAGGAAGGTTGTTTCAGCCTCCACTCCACCAGCAGCGTAAGAGTGTCCCTCACTCTTATTTCTCCTCCTTTCAAGCGATTGCCAGGCACATGCATTCCCCTTCCTTTGAGCTGTCTCGGCGTGTATCTCTCAGGGAAGGTCGCCATGGACCACCAATTAGTCCAGCTGAACTTCCCAGTGGTGGGCAAAATGGTGATGTGCCCCAAATGTGGCCACATTCACCCCATGCTGATGTGAGGATGGCCTGAACCAGCGGTTCTCAACCTATGGGTCTCGACCCCTTCACAGGGGTCACCTAAGACCATCGGAAAACACATATATAATTACATATTGTTTTTGTGATTAATCACTATGCCTTAATTATGTTCAATTTGTAACAATGAAATTGGGGTCACCACAACATGAGGAACTGTATTAAAGGGTCGCGGCATTAGGAAGGTTGAGAACCACTCTATAGTGCCAAACACTATAAAACAATGCTTTTATACTGGAGACCGAGCCCTCTAGGTCAGCCTATTAGTGCAGCGTCTAACGGCACCTTCATCTGAAGTCTATGCATGCAGCGGGGGCCAACATGGGGCCCCCAGAGCTCAAAACCACAGCCTCTTGTTTTCCACTGTCAGATGGCTTCTGTTAGGAGTGATATCCAGTCACACCTAAACTAATTTCAGTCTTCACAGTCTGCTATGTTTGTTTGTTTTTAAGAGTCAGCCATTACTTGCAGGTTCTTTTTCTTTCTTTTTAAAATTAACACTTATATATGTCCATCAAAACATTTCATGCATGCAAAAAAAAGTTTTCAGAATGGATGCTTGGAAGGGGCAATATGAAAGTAATTGGAAATAAAAACCTTGGTTGATCAAAAGGAATTACATTTTAAGGTCTAGTCTCCTAGGCCTGCAATCCAGGAGGAATTTGTAGAATTTTCTCTCCCAGAAGTGGGCCCTCCTTCCCTTTTTTATTGCCCAGGTCAGCTCTTCCCCTCAGGCCTTACCTCCGATAAAGAGCTCCCTTTTTTCACATTTTGATAACATTTATAGAGTGCTCACTTAATCCGAGTCAGCCTTGCATTTTTATTTAAATGTGACCCGAGCTTCTGTTTTCCACTATTTTCACTGTCCAGGGCACCAGGGCTAAAGGTCACTCTTCTTTTTATCCCTTTTGTGGCAAGGTGGCCATGTGCCATGGAAGTTGCCCAGAGTTGATCAGTAACTAGGTGAAAAATAAATAAATTTGGAATAATTCATAAAGTAAGTAGATTAGGATGGTTTGAATAACAATATACATTTTTTAAAAAGTACTTTAAGGCTTTTAAATGCCTCTCATTCAGTCTCATTTGTACCTCAGAATAACCCACAGAGGAAACTGGCGTGGAGAGGTTAAGAGATTTTTTTTGACACCCAAATCCTCTTGCTCTAATGCTTCTATTATTTCCATTATAGTTGATGCTGAAACCTATATATATAAAAGGCTAATATGCTAAGTGTCAGTCCGGGTAATGACATCAAGTAGCAACGCATGGCTTCCTCTCCCTAGTGACGACTAGCCTCCTTGCAGTTTCTTCAGCCCAGGGACACGACTAGCTTTATAGCCAGGTAAAAACATTTTCACTTTAATCAAATGTCTATGAAGCATTTTCCCGTGCCTCATCTCATTTGATCCTCACAGAGGTCCTGGAATAGGTAGATAGGAGACTCAGTGGAATCCTATTTTCTTTTCATTAGCCAGAAAACAGAGATTTATAAAGCTTAGAAACTTGACCTGACTGAAAAGAAGTAAGAAATGGTGGACCTTGAAAATGACTTCAGGTTTTCTCACTGCGCAGAATATAGTCAAACACTGCTGCAGTTAAATATTTTACCCTTTGTTCTCTGCATGATCTACAATAATAACCTGCTTCGTGTTGATATTTACTGCTGTGTTGCTGACAATTACCTGAAAGAGAAGTTGGGGTGCTTCACGGGGCTGGAAAAAGTTTAGCTACATCAGAAAGCAGGTCTAGTTAAGCAAGTTTATTCTCTATATATAAAAGGCTAAGTTGACTCGTGCATGCACGATACATATAAAGCTCTCTCTGGGGCCAATTGCACACGTGTGTTTCCATCTGTCATTGTTGATTGTGAATTTGGTTGACACTTCTATTATAGAGAAAGGGCGAATAGCAATATTAAAATATTTCTTCTAATTAATTTCCTGTCAATGTGCACAAATTCATGCACTGGGCCACTACTACAAATATAAGATTAAATCTGGAGTTGGCCTCCTCCCATAAAACATCCTCACCAGCAGAGAGTGCTAGAACATGTTTGGGTCTTACTGGCCCAATCACTTTAAGAACTAGGTTACCCTGGGGAAATTATTTAATTTTTCTGAGCCTCATCTGTAAACTATTGATGTAATGCACCCCATCTACAGGGTGGTGATGGGATTAGAAATATTCTGTGGCTGGCACACAGTAGGTGAACAGTAAATCATACCTGCAGTATCCCTATAAGAGGATCACATGAGCAGTGTGGAGGTAAAGTAGATATTGATTCTTATCTGATGATTGAATAAATATTTTAAATTAGTTTGCACATTTGGCATTTAAAATAGGCAGAGTTAGCCCTAACCGGTTTGGCTCAGTGGATAGAGCGTTGGCCTGTGGACTGAAGGGTCCCGGGTTCGATTCCAGTCAAGGCCATGTGCCTTGGTTGTGGGCACATCCCCAATAGGGGGTGTGCAGGAGGCAGCTGATCAATGTTTCTCTCTCATCGATGTTTCTAACTCTCTATCCCTCTCCCTTACTCTCTGTAAAAAAAAACAATAAAATATATTTTAAAAAATAGAAAGAGTTCTATCGAATGAGCAAAGAAATGAATATTTCTGAAAAAAAATGTTAATGCCCAATGCTGGCAAAAGGATGGGAAATCAGATTGGAACTTTTTTAGGTGGAAAGCCTTCAACATGACGTGCCGCTTGCCCCAGAAATTATGTAACCTAAGAAACCAATACTGAGTGGCAGCAAGGTTTAGAAAAACAAAGGATGTCATCACCACTCTATAACAGCAAAAGTGGAAACAACCTAAATGTTTAATGTGTGGCACAGGTTTAATGATTTACTCTCTCTGTCAAATTGAACATCATGCAGTCATTCGAATTATGCTGTAGAAGAATATTCTACATGGAAAGATGATCACAACACAGCAAGCTAAAAATCACAAGACACAGCCTGCGTTTGCTTCTGGTTAAAAAACCACACAGGACATAGGGTAGGGGTGGAGGTGGGCTAAAAGTGGCTAATGGGGGGAAAGGGGGACATCTGTAATACTTTCAACAATAAAGACAAATTTTAAAAAACCCCACACAACACAAAAATCAAAAGTTTAAGTTATTTTCATTGGAAATGAGATTGTAAGTGATGCCTTTTTTCTACTTTGCTTATCTTATTCTCTAAATGTTCTGCAATGAAAATTTATCAGTCATAATTTAAAAAATAGGTTTTCTTTTACATGTGCCCAGTTGGTGCCATTCGTGAACATTGCCTGCCAGCACAACCAGGCCAGTGGTCATGGAAAGTAAGTTAATTGTAATAAAGCAGCTTGGAAGTTTCTAGGTAGTTAAACAAAGTAATTAAAATCCTAATGAAATTTCACACAGCTGGTCCTTAAGCTTTGGCTTAGCTGCTGTAAGGCTACTATAAATAGACACCAGGCTTCCCTCTTACAAAAAGCCTAAAAAATGGCATAAAATAAAATATGAGCAATTGTTCGTGTACATGGCCACGTGCCATGTTTGTCCTGAGCAAATGTCACCTGAAACTCCCCCATATCTCGTCCTCCAGGCTGGCGGCACATCTCTGGACAGGGTGTATTTACTCTCCGTTACTCAGCTTACTCCCCTGAACCGGGCATGGAGTGGAATTTCCATGCAGTTACCCATTAGCCCCAGGGCTAGAGTTAAACCTTTAGTTAAATTAATCCGTTGATCTCAAACACATTGCTTCTCCCTCAGAAACGTGTAGAGAGGTTTCTTAGATGTCGCAGAGCTCAACTGAGTGTGAAGATGCAAGTCACCTGAGGGAGACCTGCTCCCTCCACACAGCTCTGCCACCCCCTCCCCCGCATCCGCCCCCTCTCCTCCCCCCCCCCCCCCCCTGGGGGGCAGGCACTTACTTGTTGGGGTGGGGCTGGGGTTACTGCACTCAAGGATTCTTCCCAGATCCAGAGCTGCAACTCTGGGCAGGAACCCATACTTAGAGAAGACAGGGAAGGTGCAAAATGGGTGTTATCAAATGAATGACAGAAAATACATACTGGTCCCAGTTCATATAAGAAGAGATCATAAGCCTCAAAAGGGGGAAGGTGTGGGAGGCCATCGTAGTCCGCCTCTGACTTCATAGAAAACGAAGCACATTTCAGGGCCAAAGTGAAAATTCAGGTTGGCCTTTGCTAAGAGATGAAAAGTGACAGCCCCCTCCGGTGGGTCGTGTCCGTCAGTCTGGCCACAGGAAGGATGTCCCCGCGCTCGGACTCAGGCGCCTCAGGCGTGTACTCCTCTCAGGGGCTGCATCCTCCTCCTGAGAGTGAACGAGGCTCAACCTCCATGGTTTTTAGCTACAGTTTCAAGGTGGGACAGTCCGTGTAAGGGGCTGTGGACCTGCCCCTGTAACTATTAATAACGACTGACTTCTCCGGGCCCAAGGGCAGCGCAGGGTCCAGTTAAAAAGTTCAAGGGCCAAATCTGGACGCTGCTCCAAATAACTGTCCTGCAGACCCCCAACTCCCGGGGCCACCTCCTCACGCCGCGACTGAGGGGTTCTGCTCGCACCCCCAATCCCCGGAATGCGCGCGCCCAGGAAGTGTCCTCGCTTCCTTCCCTGGTTCCCGCGAGTCCCGGGAACCACCGACTCCCTCCCTGGGAAGCGCGAACCTGGACCGCCCGGCGGATCCCCGCCCGCCACCCGCTCCACTTTCTCTTCCTCCTCCTCCTCCTCCTTCTCCTCCTCCTCCTCCCGCGGCCTCGCCGCCCGCCGCCAGACTCCGCGGCGGCGCACCCCGGCTTTGTTTTCCTCCAGGGTCCCGTGCCCACACGGAACACCGTTAGGCAAAAAAGCGCTCGAAGTGCGAGCGAGGGGCCGCTCGCCCCTTATAAACACGAAAACGGGGCTCGCGCCCGAAGACCCAGGGTCAGAAAGTGCCAGTACCGACCGGCCAACCGGGCCCACGTACTGATTCATAGTATCTAGGAAACAAAGAAGTC